ATTAATATATACAAATAAATATGTATATAATGATATTTGAATAAACCAACTAGATGGGTCACCAAATGGGTACTAATGTTGGGTCGCAACCTGATCCAAGCCCAATTCTCAAACACATGCATAAGCTAAGCCTAACACAACATAGCTTAGTCCAAGTTCAAGATTAAGTCCAAATCCAAGTTCAAGACCAAGACCAAACCCAACATATGCACAAGCACAAGCCTAGGCCCAGTCCAGACTAAGACTAAGTCCAAATCTAAGCCCGACTTTATTGATGCCCACTTTATGAAACAATTCTCATTCACAACTCAATGGCTTCGGCTTAATATTTTTGTATTGAAACCTTCTCACTTGAGAATACAAAACCACTCAGACCCACCTCAACCGGTGGTTGAGTCCTACTTTAATTTCGAATTAAAGTTGCCAAAAATCTATTATTTTCCAACAAAAAGTTGTTGTCTGATACTCTCCACATGTAGGCCTGTCAATGGGTCGGATCCGGGTCGGATCTGCCAAAATCCGATCCGATCCGATTAACTATTAATCCGAATCCGAATCCGAATCCGATTATTGAAAATCCGATTATACGTGATCCGATCCGATCCGTTTTACACGGATATCCGATCCGAGTTTAATTGGGTTAATTTTTTTTTTTTTTTTTTTTTTAACTCTCCCTTGGTCCACAGCCCGCCACGTGGAGGTGGGGGTGTTGGGGGTGCCCCGTACTGGGGGTGCCGATCAATGCTCTAAATTTATATCTGTGGTGACACGGGCTTGATTTTGAATCATTAACATGTCCTAGAGTTTTTTATTTTGGGCTATGTTTGGCTATGGCCTTTTAAACCATTTTTTGACTATATAAGAAAATAAATAAATAAGCCAAATTGTTCTATTTGGCAATTGCTAAAATTGTTAATTTTTTTCTTAAATTTTTTTATCATTTTAAGAAAATCTTTAAAATTTGTTGTAATTTTTTTTTTTAATAAAAATTCTCAAATTCTTCTAGTCTTGAAGGGTATAAAACTTAAGAAAAACAATATCAACTTACCTAAATTTTCCCAATGACAAAAAAAATTATTCTTGTAAGTATTTATCAGACGCATCAATTTATACAACTTTATTTTAAGAAAATAAAAAAATTATTAAAAAAATAATTATCAAACTCAACCTTAAAATGGATAATCTTGGTGGTGTTGATGTTGTTGGTGGCGCTGATTGAGGTGGTGGTGTTGTTGGTGGTTTTGGACCCTTTGCTGTCTGTGAGTTTTTGGGTGAATAAGCTGTCTGTGAGTTTGAGGAGTTGTGTGGAATGACCTAAATAAGTGCATTTTTTGTCTTTTTACAAAAAGATGTGCAGAAAAGTAGAGAGGCGATGTGATGAAAAAAAGATAAAAAAATGAATTATTTTGTGTATGTCAACCTTGACTTGAGTCTTCTGCACCGTAATTAGCTAAAGAGAGGGTTGTGAGAACAGAGAGACATAGACAAAGGACTAGGAAGTATGTAAGAGTTCTCATCTTTAGTTAGGATGTGTGTTGTGAAGATGGTTGTTGATTTGTGAATTTGTGAATGCCCCTTTTATAGAGGGTATGTGATGCTGTCCGAATTTCAAAATAATATCAATTTAATTAAGAATATTCTAATTTAGTATAAAATCGTACAGGATTATTTAATTTCTTAAATTGATATGATGCAATTTTTCTATTTAATTAGCCTTGATTTTTATTCTTATTTTATTAGTTTATTGTTTTTCAAAAATTAGATTTATTATCAATAATGATTGTAAACCTTAAGACAAAACTTTTGATTAATAATATACTAGCATAATTCTCATGCTATGCATGAATATACAAAATAATATAGAAATCTATATATATAAAGAAAGAGGTCTTTTTAAGAACAATAATTATGGAAACTCCAAACTCCCAAATTAATTTTGTTAATTTATTAATTTTTTAAAAAAATAAATAAAAAAAAATCTATTGGTTAGTTCCTTAAGTCAAAAATTCAAAAACAAAAAAAGTTCTAATTATCTATAATTTTGAATTTTAAAATTCAAAACAATATAATAAGTTACCTTCACTTTTTCCAAAAATAATGTTGATCAAAACAATTCTAATAAAAATAAATAAAGACACTAATTATCTATGATTTTGAATTTCAAAATTCAAAGTAATATGGTAAGCCACATTCATCCTACTCTCACATTTTCCGAAAATAATATAAATCTAAAATTTTAAAAACCAAATCAAATTAAAAATTCAATACGATTCTCTTTTTAAAATACTCAATATTTAATCTTTTTTTCAGCTCGGCCAATTCCTCCTCAAATGTAATGATGTAATAGCTATTCTTTTTCTTTGCTAATAGTCCAAACTTATTTCAAGTTTGTTTGTTTGTGAATTTTTTTAAAATTTTTTTTGTAAATTTATATTTTCGTATGAGTATTTTTTTTTTCTCTATATGACTTTTTTATTCCAATGTATTTTTTTTTTCAACTAAATTGATAATAAATATATATCTGTTAACTATCTTTATTTTGGGAGTTGATTTGAATTTTTTTTTTTTTTGTAGATGTTTGTGTAATTTTTATATTGTTGTTATTATTTCTTTTGATATATGTGAATTGATAATATAGTTATGAGTTTTTTTTTAATAGAATAAGACGTCTTATATGATTCTTTATGATTTGGCCATTTTTTGAAATTTCTTAAACAAAATTTTCAAATTTTTTATTTGTAAAAAATTAAAAGCATTTAATTGACTCGCCCATCAATAAATAAAATTTTAAATAAAGAACACTATTTCATAATTTATGGATTTAAAAAAAAAAATTAACACCCATATATGAAATAAGAAAACCTAAAATAACCTATTTTTTATTTTTAACTCTTTAAAACTTTAACGGTATTTTTTTTATTTTCACAACATTATCTTTTTATATTTACAAAGATAAAAAATTAGATCGGAGTTGCGTAATAATTACCGGAGGTATTGAGCATAACAACAAAGGGTATCCCGATCCTCGGCAGCACATTTCTGCCGTGCGTCCTGCGGCGCCCCAAACCGACGTCGTTTTGGGGCGAGAGATTTCAATTAAAAAAAACTAGACATAACATGAGCAACAGAGGGAGAAGAAGAAAGAGAGGAGAAGAAGTGTTGCCGATCGTTGCCGTTTCCCCCCGATCGTCCGTTGCCGATAGTTCGCCGTTCACCGAACTGTTGAGTCAGATCTGTTGATACCGATTGAAAGAGACCGAGATGGGAAGTAAAGATGAATTAATGGAGGCTCTCAAGAAGGAAGTTGTTGATTTGGTACTGAATCTGACTCTGTTGTGATTTTTACACTCTGTGTTGTTTTTTATTCAGTGAAGGTGTGCTTTGATGGGTTTTGATTTTGGTGAATTTGATATATGAATTTGATTTGCAGGAGAACATACCGATTGAAGAGGTTTTTTCGAATTTAAGATGTACCAAAGAGGGACTCTCACGTGAGTCTGCTGAACAGAGACTTGCCATTTTGGGCATAACAAACTTGAAGAAAAGAAGGTGCCGGTTACATATGTTAATCTTATGATTTTCTACTTTTCTTCTTGTTGGTAGTTGTGGGGTTGATGATGATAATTTTTCTACCTCTTGATTTGTCTTTGTTGCTGTAGAAATTTGAGGTGTTTTGGGGGTTACAATTTTTTTTTTTTTTTTGCTTTTTTGCTTGCAGGAGAGTAAGATTTTGAAGTTTTTGGGGTTTATGTGGAACCCTCTTTCGTGGGTCATGGAAGCTGCAGCTATTATGGCCATCGCCCTTGCCAACGGAGGAGTAAGCACTGGTTCTTTGTTGCCTTTTTGTTTGGTTGCTGAGAAAAGTTTAGACAGGTTTTGTATTGTTTTCTAGGAAAAAAAAGAAGGAAATTGGTCGGCAAATTTTTTTTGGAGAAATTTCTGAAAACACTTTTCTGAGTTTATTAATTTTGATTTATCATCTAGGATGTTAAAGTGTTATTCTGTATATATATATACACATACATCTCCAATTTTTGAACCTCAGTTTTTTTTTTTTGAATGGTTACTGGTGTTCTGGGTGTTTGAAGTGTTTGTATTGTTGTTCAAAAATATGAGATGTATGTATACATCTGGGTGTTTAAAGTGTTTGTATGTATATCTGAGATCTATATATTGAAGTGTTTGTACTGTTGTTTGTCTTGCTCTGGGTGTTCTGGGTCCTCTCCTCTCTCTCATCCTGGCTGCTTCTTTCTTCTTCTTCTTCTCCTCCTCTGATTCTGATTCTGATTCTGTGTTTTCGTTTATTTATTTTTTGGAAATTTTGCCCCCAAAACGACGTTATTTTGGGGCACCGTAGGGAGCTGCCGGAGGAAAATGCGACAGAGGATCCAGATTCACGATAAGGGTGATGATGAGCTCGGCCAGAGTATTATTTTAGTAGAGAGTATTGTTTTAGTGGATTTTGAAAAGGTGAATATTAAAAGAATAGTAAATAATTTGGGTGATGAATTGATTTAGAAAATTAATGTGTGGTTGAGATTAAGTGTGAATTTTACCATATAAAAATTGAATATGGATTATATATTGTTTTTTATATATAATTTTGAGTACTTTTGTATAACTATGAAAAATTATTGGGATCACATGTTACTTATCATTTGATATATTATTATTGTATTATCGTAATGAATTTTATTATTAATGTCTATTATCAATGTAGTGGTGAAACGTCACATGATAAATAAAAATATGTTATTATTATTATTATTATTATTATTATTATTAATAATATATCACTTTATTTACTTTTTTACAATGTTCAAAAAATTAATTTATGTTTATTGTTAGTTTTTGTAGATGAGAAGTCAAAAATAAATTTTAACCAAATTTAAGTTATAACTAATTTGAGATTGAAAAGGAAATTTCAAAAGAAATTATAATTATATATAATTTTAGAATATTTTTAAAAAAATACAAAGAAGAATTGGAACTATAAATTAAAATTATCAAACAACCTAACTCTATGAAAAATTTTAAATGAAAAATTGATTAAAATTGAATTTATAATTATTAAATATTTTTAATAAGTTATTAATTTTTTATTCAAGTCTGGTCTTAAATAGTTTTTCAAATATAAATATATCCTAATATTGATAATCAATATTAGACATATTTTAAGAAGGGTAGATTATATCGATAGTCCTCGCAATTTATCTCGTGTCAATTTGGTCTTTATAATTTCAATTAGTTTGATTTTTACCCGTAATTTTAGATTTTGTATTAATTTGGTCCAATTAATAATGCTGGTTAAGTTTTTTGAAAGAAAATAGTTATTAAGTTGGTTGAAATTAACTTACTGAGTTGAATAAGTTTATAATTTTGTCTATAAAAGTATAACAAATGCTACTCATGTGTGTGTTTTCAATAAATTAAAAAAAAAAAAAACTAGCAATTATAACAATTGGACCAAATTGTGACAAAATTATAAATTTAGAGCCAAAATTGAGCAAATTAAAATTGCAAGGAGAAAAATAACACAAGTTAAAATATGGGGATAACCTATGTAATTTATCCTTTTAAGAATAAGTACATAATTTCTTAATTAATTTTAAAATTGTTAATAAATATACCAAACAAATATGTACATATTTCTTATTTTTGTTATAAATTTTTTTAAAGAATATATTTGCTAATTGAAAATTAAATAAATAGGTAAGTCTATTAACTCATGGATTAGACATGAACTAGACTGAACTAGACGATTCTATAAGATTAGGCTTAAATCAACAATTATTGGCAAAAAAAAATTGACTTGAACTAAATTTTCTTGGCTATTTTTTAGTGTTTAATCCAATATTAGAACCCCCCAAATTAGTTCATATCAGTCACGAGCTAATAAACTATGATATAATTTAAATATAAAATTTAAATTTATTAGGGCTAGAATATGACTTACAATTTAGGGCGCCTTTATCTTAAATAATTGTTTTATACATAAATATATATAACTATTCATTTAATTGTTTTAAATATAAATATATAGTTTTTTTTTTTTAAACTATAGTTCAAACTTTTTAATAAGTATGCATAAAATAAGTCCATATTTCTTATTTCTATTATAAAAAAATATTTACAAATATTTATTTACTAATTTAATAAATAGATAGGTCAAATGATTCATATAAGTTGATAACAGAACAAGACAATTTTTAATGATTAGGTGAATGACAAGTTGGCGTAAATCTAATGTTAAGCCCAAATTTAATATCACAAGTGAATTCTAATTCATTTTTACGTAAATCTTATTACATAAGGCAAAATTGTAATTTTTAGACTTCACAAAACATGAAAAAATTACTATATTGACAAATGTAATTTACTACTATCATGTGATAAATTAAATTTACGAAACTCGTAAGACGAAATGTATTTATATTTTATCATAAATATAATTTTTGTGATTTATTTTTTAATTTTTACCACTTAAATTATGACATATATTTGTTATAAAGAACATAGGACACACAATTAATGACATAAGAATAAATATAAAAAAAATCTTATATGTAACTGTGATAAAAATGAATAAAATTTAATTGATTCTAAATCATTTTTGCTAAATATTGTAGATAAATTTTTTAGATTATTATTTAATTTTAAAAATTAATTTACGATTATTTATTTATACCCGTGTATAGCACGAGTAATTATGCTAGTTAAATAATAACATAAAATTTATTTAAAAATAATTTAGAAATTAAATTTTAACCATTTTTATTAAACTTACACCTCAAATAAAAAAAATTATTCTTATGTCATTAAATGTGTGTTCTAATTTTTTCTTTTTGATATGCGAATCAGTTTACGCTCATCTTGAGTAATAATTTCTTAATAAGAAATATATGTTATAGTTTAATGGGTAGAAATTAAAGATTAAATTACAAAAATACATTTACCATAAAAGGGGTAAATGCATTACATCCTTAAGTTCTATGATTTTAATTTATCCTATCATAAACTTCACCCGATATAATAAATCACATTTGTGAATAAACTAATTATTCATTGCCAATTGTACAAGTGCAAAAATTTGTCTACTCATGCATAAAATTTATAATTTGTCTTATGTCATGATTCTTAAGTAAAAATGGAATAGGGTTGACTTGTCAAGTTAGTGTTGGATTAGATATTAAAAGTGGCTTAGAAACTAATCAACTCAATTTTTACACCAACTTAATCTTGACGTAATCATTAATTATTTTCTTTTATCTACGTCCAACATATGAATTACTTGATCAATTTATTTATTAAATTGTTAAATTGATATCAATAAGTATTTTTTAGGCATATTTATTAAACAATTTAAATTTGGGTAAAAAATTTATATATTTATATACGAAAAGCTATCTAAGATAGGGTTTGCATAAATTAAGGGCCATATTTTAGACCCAGTTGTTCACCTAATCTAAAAAATTGATCGATAATTAGTAGAAAATATTTGATACTAATAGATTTAAACTTCAAATTTGCAAAAATGCTAGGGATATCATATTCAAATAAAGTATTTAGTAATTCATTTAGGATTCTTAATAAGGAGCTTTTTTCATAAATCCTTTTTCTAAGAACTTTATTCTAAGAGCTTTTTTCTATATTCTTTTTTACTATTCCATTAGATCCTATTTGAGGTAAGAAGACCAAAACACCTTTAATCTCTCTTGTCCCCTATTAATGTTGATTGTCATTATGTTTTAGTAGTTCTCATGCATCAGGATGTTGACTGTCATTATATTCCTATTAATTTGAAATGAATTTTTGTCATTGTGTTATCAATTACATGATGTGAATATTCACATCATTATATTCACATTAATTTGAAATGAATTTTTGTCATTGTGTTGTTAATTGTATGATGTGAATATTCATACTAAAACATACGAGTGTGAACGTTAACATCACTACATTAGATGAACGTTCACATCACTACATGTTGTGAATAAGAATGTATTGTCAATTAAAAATATAATGAACGTTATTTTTAAAGTGTTGTCAATTAAAAATAAGAAGTTTTACATGTTGTGAACGTTCACATCACTACATTAGATGAGAGAAAATTTTTCTGAAAGGTGTTGTGAGCGATCACATCAGATGGGACAGAATGTTCACATTATTTTTAATGTGTTGTCAATTAAAAATATATTCACATCAAACGAGAGAGAATGTTCACATTATTTTTATGTGTTGTCAATTAAAAATATATTCACATTATATAATAATATAAAATAATAACATCAATATTATTTAATTTGTGTATAAAATTTCCTATGTCTTGGTCTTTTCTTTTCCCTTCCCTCTCCTCTCTCAACATTAAATATAAGGTGATAAGGGTCTAAGAAAATAGTGTAAATCAAGAAAATGGACTTTATGAAATAAAACTATACATGCATGGGACTAAATGGGTTAAAAAATTCCTTCATGAAC